ATGTCATTTTATATCCCCTTGTATCTGTAATTCACTTCATATGAGATGTCTGCTACAGTGCTTCTCAAAATGGGTTTCAGAGCCCCTTGGTGCGAAATTTGAATTTCACAGGTCTGTAACTGTATTTCATCAAATGTAAAAAAAAAAAAAAAGAGAGAGAGAGAGAGAACCACTGGTCTACTAAATGCTTAGGCTAATTAAAGTTGTGTAACTTAAATAAAACTTGCATATGCTGTCCTCTTCAGAACATGTATGCAAGGGCCGTTTGGAGGGAGGGAGAAGTAGAGGAGGAGGGTGTTGTCCCAGTGAACTGGATCGACAAGACAAACGGAACCGTTAGATGGCCCCGCATGAGCACTACAAAAACTGAGAAGGCGCTTAAGGAAAAAATGACCCCCAAAGATGACTGGATGACATTTACTTTAATAAAAGTAAAAATGACATCAGGCAAGTTACTGTTTTGATTAATAGAAAATGGCCTATATGTCCAAGTCAAAATATACTTCAAGGTTTGAGCGTTGAAATGCTTTTTTCAATTTCTTAAAAAAAGTTTAATCTTCTTACTTCTAGCTCTCCGTAGAGAATGTCATAATTATGCCATGACCAGTCAGACAGAGCAGGATGACAATGAGGAGGAGGAAGTGAAGGGGTCGAGGAAGCGCACTAAAAAAGTGATTCCAGAGGATTTTGTATCAGATGGTACGTTTTCTCTTTCTCTAGTAATTAATACACTAATATAAAATCTGTTTACAGAAATTTGGCCTCAAAGTTCACTCATCAATGTTTCTAACTTTTTTTTCTTTTTTGGCAGTTACAGATTCAGATGAGGAAAGATCCAATGGTAATGTTTTTCTACAATGTATTTAAAATTCCAGTTTCAAACTGTGGAATTTGATAATGTTGGAGATCATGCTGATTTTTTTTTTCTTTGTTTTTTTTTCCTTTTGTTTTTTTTCCACTGACCTCTAGGTTTTGAGCTGCCCAACTACCCTGCTCCACCGACAAAACTGCAGCCCATTCAGGGCACACCCATACTAGATAATGCATGTGAGTACTGATGACAATTTATAAAGCATGGTAATGTGTTGTATCGACAAAATGATAGTACGGGCTGATTTGGATGTGTTTCAGTCTCTGGAGATGAAGACATAGTGGATAAAGACATGGCTGATGAAGACGTAGCAGAGCGTGCAACTGTGGACTGGTCGGACAGGGAAATGTCCACTCCTTGTAAT